GGAGTTCCTAGAGAGAGCAGACAACCCACCTGGGGACCAGACGCACACCAACCTTTCCAGAGCCCCCTCTGCGGGTCGCATACACTGGCCACTGCCCGCCCGCCCGCATCCCCCAGGGCTGGGTCCCACACAGCCAGGACGGCCCCGTGCCCCAGAGCCCACTGAAATGGTCCACACCAGCCCATCCTAAGCCTGCTCGCCCGCCTCGCCTTCTCGTCCTCAGAGACCACAGTGAGGGCTCTTGTCCACCCTCCCTCCCTCCCTCCCCTCCGCCTCCACCCCCCACCCCGGGCATGGCGAGCCCCCCTCTTGGGGACTGAGAGCAACAAGCTGTCTTCCCAGTGTCCCCGTCTCAGTTGGCTGGCCTCGCCGTCCCTGCATCAAACACACCCCACAACTTAACACGGCTGCCTTCCGGCCACGTCGCTAAGCTCTGCACAGCGGCTCCTTTTTGCCCTTAAGATCAACACCCTCTCTTTTCCCAGACTCCCCTCAGAGCCCCTCCATTTCTGTCACCCCAGACTCTTCTCTGGGGACTTTCTGCTCTGCCCCCAGCTGGCTCCACACATCTTGGGCCCCGGTCTCCCCTCCCAGGAGATGGTCCAGATCCAGGCCTTGGGCATCTCACCCTCAAGGGCCACAGCAGACCCACCAGCCAGACTGCCTGGGGCCACTTCCAGAGCAGACCCAGAATCAGACCCCCAAGCGCAGGCACCGCCGTCTCCCCTGCCCAGCGCGGCCCCAAGACCGCGCTCCCTGCGCAGCAGACGGGCGATGCTCCCAGAGCACCCACCGAGGCATGGCCCCCGCCCGGCCGCCAGCCTGTGTTTGGGTCTCGGAGGAAGATCTGCACGCCCAAGACCCCACACGTCTGACCCCCCGGTGCCTGAGCTCGGCTTCTGGCCCCTGGGCTCCAGCCACGCTGACCGCCTTCCTCATCTACAAAAAGCCCAGTGAAGCAGCTTTTGCCCTGGCTGTCCCCGTTCTGCCTGGAAGACGTTTCCGCCCAGAACCTGGTATGATTTCCTCTTTCTGATGACTGAGCCTCAGCCCGAAGGCCACGTCCTCAGAGAGGCTGCTCCTGCCCCGGCTGCTCCTCGACACCCCGGGTTCTACCCCGTCTCTTCCTGCTGCTGGTTACTTGAACGCGTGTTGTTTGCCTGTTGATGGGTTGATGGTCTGTGGCCCCCTCACCCCCGGCAAGTGTGTCTCAGTGAGCAGCCCTGGTCGCAGGCCCGCACGGCCACCTAGAGCGCCTGGGGCGAGGGCAGCGTTTGGTGCGGGGAAGTGTGACCACTTAATAAACTAGTTAATTCATTTCTCTTTCAGGCAGCTCTGTTTTGCACAGTCCTGAGATGCAGACCCCTGATTTACAGACTTCAGCTTTGGTGACAGGTCCCGTGGGCTCTGAGTTCTACCCGCAAGCTCATCCTTGGTGAGGATTTTCTTCCACATGAGTCTTGGCTCCGGCGATTCTCCACAGAGGTTTCATTTCTGATCCTGAGGGTCCAGCGAGCTTCCCTGGTTCTTTCGTCAACTTCTCAGCCTTGGAGAATGGTTGGAGTTTGGAACAGAACATGTAGCTACATGGGGGGAAGACTGCAAGGCGCCACTGTCTTAAGGGTGAATCCTTTCCGCCCACGGCCCGGGGCAGCCAGCCAGCTTTGGAGTTGAGACCCTGAGCCAGGCAGAGATCTTCCAGCCCTGTTATCACTGACGCTCTGAGTCCGGGCTTCACCTCGGGGGCTCAGTTCAAAGCCCAGAAGGGGACTGAGATCTCAGGAGTGCAACACAGGCCCCTGGGCCCCTTTCTGGGTCAGACGCCCTGCAGTGGCCTCTGTGTCGCTCCTGGAAGGCTGTTCTGGGTCCTTCCTGCACTGGAGGTCAGCATGGTCTCTGGACGTCCCCGTCGGCCCCGCCTCCATCTGCACCAGAAGACCCCCACCTCCACCCTTTGTCTCTGTGCTCCTGACCCGACCCTGCATCCCGGGGACCCTGTGTCATGTGGTTTGGCTCATGGCCCCTGTGAATGCACCTGCTCCTCAGAGGAACTCCCCAGCACAGGCCTGCTGCTGGCACCTGGGGCCCACGCCATACACTTTCGCTCTCAGAGGAGAGAGTGGCTGTCAGTATTCTGTCAGCAGCAGCTGGTCACCCCGCCAGCTGCAGCCACTGCCTCCGCAGCAGCCCAGTTCAGCCGGTCACACAGCAGAGCCCACAGGAGCGAGGGGCTCCCTGGCAGCAGAGGGGAGGAGGGCGGTCACTAGGGAGATGACGGAGAGGGAGGCACTC